TAAAGATCCCAATCAGAAAGGAGATTCTCTTGCTCAAAAGCTTGATTCAAGGAAAATAATTATGTTGCTTCTAACCTGTGAAACTGTAGTTTGATGTTTTCGTGAACCAGATGAAGTTTTCCTTGACCATATTGCTTGCTCAATCACACTAAGTGCAAGTTCTTTCTGTGTTTCACTGTCAGGATGATCAAGTCCATCCCTGACAAGTAAGGTTTGATCCGGAATGTCAACAGTGCACTGCTGAGGTTTCCTCCGGGCAATGACATGAGGAATGCTTTGTGGTAGGTGGTCAGTAGCACGTCCCAGCCACATCAATGTGGAACCAGGGTGAAGAATCACAACAGTTGAAGCCTGAAGAGGCTGAAAAAGATAGCAAATTTTAAGATATTTGTTCTTGAAAGTACTCCACCTGCCATACATTTAATTTCACAAATGAACAGTATTTTGCTCATAGTGCAACTGGTATTTCTATAAATCTTTGAGGTAGCTCCCTAAAAAGCATGTAGTTAATAATTTGATGTAAACATATTGAAACCTTTTTTTTTCAAATATTTTGGAGATAATTTGAAATTGACGAAAATTTTAAATTGTTTACTTCTATATTCTTTGTGCTCAAAACAAAGAAAGGAAATCAACTCCGTTTCTGTAAACTTCACTGTATTTTTACGCGCTTTTATATCGCAGTATACTGCTACTTCTTAACCTTCATTTGATATAAGTTTCATACGATTTCATAAACATCGGCGAAAATCACTTGGCGGAAGTCACTCTTGTATAGATGTACGCAAACTGATCATAATCTACGTAATATCAACGAGTTCTATTTCATTTAAACATTCCATAATTGAGATGCTACACATAACTTCCGAGTCCCTTTACCATTCTGCAATATGGTACTACATCTTAACTTTAATTTGATATAAGTTTTATACGACAGGCTACACATAACGTCTGTGTCAAATCGCCACCTTGAAGAGTTGACTCTCAGTGCTGGCGAGTTTGGTGGTGGCAAGTTTGTTGTGAAGGCTAATTGACCGGATACCATTTAATTACATCAAACCTAAAAGTATTATGCAATTTTAGCTTGACGCCAGGAGATTCCTCGACATGCCCACGGAGAACTCTTCTTGGGAGTGATCGAGTGACCTGTAAATTGCCTGTTAGCTAGAGTTAATTTTAACAAGAGAGAGAAAAGATTGAATGATACCTCGACTGATTCAGCAGGAGCCGGTCGTTCAACTTTTACTCCACGAGGCATTTCTGGTGAAGCTTTCCTTTTCCCTAGAAGCTTTCTAACAAAAGAAACAAAAGTCCCCCAAAACCGCCATTTTGATTCTTTTACTTGAGCCTGCAGTATTCTGCACAGTTTTGACGTTCTTACTCAAAATTGATTGTTGTAAGAACTCATAAAGTGAGACTTATTCCCAGAACATGACTATTACACCACGTAATTATTAGAAAAGTGGGTTCATCCTTAACGGCAAGATGGCGGACGGAGGCACCGCGGAGGAAAGCCTCGAATTGGCAGAGAGGCAACGGAAAATATTTGCTGCAACACAACCTGTTTCTGTGGATAATCATAATTCCCAGCCACAGAAGAGTGAAGCTGCGAAGAAATCTTTGAAAAAGAAAGGTTAGTAGCGTAATGACATTACGTTTTTTGTTGCTGAATTGTAGAGCGGAATTGGAGGAAATCAGCACAATTTCTGTGAAACCCCTAAAACCACATCTAATTTTTTTAGGCATTGTTATCACTCTTACATCAAAATCAAGCTGTGAAGTAAATTTTCCGTATTTTAATCGATATCTAAACTTCGAGGTCAACTGACGACATGTTGCAGCATATCCCAGAAAGTTAGAAAATGAAAAAATAGTAAAAAAGTTATAAGCTTTCAGTTAAGTCGCTTAAACTACATCTTACTTTTCTCTGTGATGTCATGATCGTCGTAAATGATCGTGCATGTTGTTGTTGGTATTTCTGCAGTGGAAGTTTTACTAAAGGCTGCTGGAGATGCCCCTATTATGGTGAAAAAGAAGTGGGTAGTGGATGGATCAAAGCAAGTCTCATACATTATAGAATTTATTAGGAAATATATCAAGTGTGAACCACAAGATTCACTGGTGAGTTCATTCCTTTGATCCTCAGTAGTGAAGTAAGCTCAGAAACTTGACTTAATGCTTTTTGTACTTATGGGTGTCAGTTATAGCCTGTACCAGGCACTTGGTCAATGGAGACAAGCAAATATTTGTTTTTGAAAATACTGTTATGTGTAAAATAGATGGGAGGGGGAATAAAAATGTAACTACTACGTCCATCATCACTGCCAACTGAGGGCTTGGTGTAAGGGTATGTTAGCCTTGAGTTAGGCTATTCCAGGGAAGGTTGGGAGGTGATCTGCTCCAGAAGCCTTACAAAGCCTGACCTTGTTTAGGTCAATATCCATTCTTTTTGTGTCCTTGTCAGAAAAAAAGATTTGGACTGCGATACATCAATCTCATCCAACCAAGTCTAATACATATTCATACATTCAGACAGATTTTTTACTTGATGAATTAATCTGTTAACTCCCAAGATCAAAATATAAATTCTCTGCACTGACTTTTACATATTTCCTTTAATTAGTTTTGTGAGAGTTGGTGTTAAATCAAACAATGATCTTTAGTTGATATTTTACTTTCTTAACATCACCCTTCTGCTTGAAAATGTAGAGATACAATTAGCCCTTGAACTCTCAAGATCTTATTGTTAATTCTTCCCTCTTGCTGCCACACATTTCCTTGTACATTAGCCATGTGAATTTGGTTTTAAATCAAGATAACAGCTTCTAACTGATAAGTTTGAGTATTCTCGTAACCTGTGTGCTGGGTAGTACACAAAAATTACAAGGAGAGGTTACATGTTAATCCCTTTTGGGACTAAAAGGGCTAAGGGAAATTCCTCTATTGTCACTCATTGAAGTGAAGGGGTTATAATTTTAAAAAAATATATTAGTATCACACACACACAATACATTGCCACACTCTCACCCTGTTACCTTGTTTAGACTTCTGGTTCAGAAAATCAGCCTGCTCATGAGGCTAAATTGTCAGAGTGTAGACCCTGTTTAAAAATCAAAAGCTGTAGAATTTACCCAGTTCGAAAGCACATTACTGTTGGGCTAAACAGACATTTCCTAGGAAGTGCTAGTGGAGCATTGCTGTCACTTTAAACTGTGGAGAAAACTTTGTTCTTGCATGTAACCCTCAGTCTCCAATATGTGTTCTAATGTGTTTCTTCTCAGTTTGTTTATGTAGGTCAGTGTTTTGCACCGACTCCTGATCAGACATTACAGAATTTATACGATGTGAGTAGAGTGGGTTAACAATAATCATTAAACATTTTTAAGGGTTATTCGTAAGGAGGATTAAGTACAAGTGGATAGAGATTTGTCCAGTAGATATAGCATTAACCATCCTTCAAACAGTGGTTGCCAGGTTACCATGATAGTGTACCAATAGCCTTACATACTTCTGAGTGGAGAGGGATACTGTATGAGTAAGCTGGCGTCTCTAAAAACATAATGCAATGACCCCACCAGGGTTTCAACCCAGACCTCCTGATATGCAGCTCAGTGTAATAACAACCATCCCACTCCATCTCCCATACAAGAAAATGAACCCCCCCCCTCCCTCTCCCCCTACCACCAGGACTTGTTTGACTTTTTGTTATGAGCATGACCTCTTCACTTCTTTGATTTTATTTGTAGTTTTCTCCCTAATGGTTTTATCCATTTCTTTGTAGATATTTAAGAGAATTTTGTATAGAATCTGAGTATTACCCCATAGTTAATGAGTTTGTATTTTCTTGTAACTTGTTTGCTGGGTAAATATTAGTGTTACTTTTAGAGTAAATTACATTTTCATCACTTCTGGAAGTCAGAGGATTGATTATAACACAATTTATTGCAGCAGCTTGAGATATGACTGAATGGGGTCTGACATGTTGATAATCTGATGACATTTTACTGAATGAAGCTAATTATTCTTTGTTTTAGTGTTTTGGAGCAGATGGAAAGTTAGTCCTTCATTACTGCAAGACACAAGCTTGGGGATAATTGAGCTCTACAGTATTCAACACTTTATTTTTCCAAAAATGTTATTAATAAACAGATCATGTGATAGGTAGGGAGTGGTACTTTTTGGACATAAGGAAAATTTAAGTCTTAAGGGAGAGAGTTTTCACAGCCATCATGTTTGAGGTTCAAAAATCAGAAAATAAGAGCATCCTTTAAAGAATGAGTGGGATTTCAAGTGGAATTCAACCTTTCAGCCTCTTTTTTAAATAAACCGTTTTAGTTTAATTTTTGAATTTTTCTGAAGTATACATAGTTCAAAACAACATCCCTAATTTTACTACTTCTATAAAGCCATATGTTTTTGAAACATAGAGAAGACTGGTCATTTACTCTGTACTCTATTTTGCCTGATTTGCAAAAAAGAATGCAATGGACTATTTCTTGTCAAGGAATTTCCCCAAAAAAAGATTGTATGTGTATGTATTTCTCATCTTAAATAAACTGAGAGTATGTAAATATGATAAGATATTTTGTATTATAATAATTGAATAAAACCATGAAATAATCTTGAATTTTTGTTCTGTTTTGTTTTGGTTTTTCTCAATTTTAGAGCTCTATGGGTTATTCCTTACAATTTTTTTTTTATTACAATAGAAGAAGCTTGCTTTCCAGGAAATTATAACACAACACCTTGTGATTTAAGCAATACTGTGGTGGAAATCACTTCAACCACAATTAAGGAGTTTTCCAGAACTCAATCATTAAATTTTCACATCTCTCAACCATGAAATGTCTTTAATACAATGGCATGCAATGTGTTCAAACAAGGTAAAAAATGTAACAAAACTAAACACAATGTCCATGGTCAGTTGCAACAACTACCAACTCACTGAATTTAAGCCCCCACCCTTGATGTAAATTTTACCAATTTTCACCTTCTCCATCCTTATCACCAAAAAAGGGTTAAGTCTGTACTTGAGCCTATTGGCCCTTTAAGCTGGAGCTTATCCTAGTTTCCGAGTAGCATGAAGTAATTAGGAGTACTATTACTTCCCCCCTGGATGAGATGCCAGTCCATTGCAAGGTTACCCCTCCAGCATTTAATCAGGCTTCTCTGATAATTTACTGCTTCCCATTCATACTCCTGGGCCAAGTTGTTTGAAGGCCTAATAGCGCTAACCCAGGTTTAAATTTTAATCCAGGTTTCTCTGTTCCTTGGTTTAAAAGCCTTTTATCGAACAATTTTCTCTTTATACAGAATCCAGTCATCAAATTGTTGACAAAAAGAATTCTGCTTAATTTACTTTTAAAGCTTCAGATCTGAAACCAAATTCCACACTAACCCTGGGTTATCTTAAACCATCCTTGAAAAACCCAGCAGTAGGGGGAGAGGCTCTGCAAGGACCACTGCGTTTCCCACATCGAAACCCGAAGGAAAACTCAGACATAACCATTTTTTTCCTTTTTTGGCGCTTTTTAAGTATTTTCTATGTTTACCAACATGTTCGTTCTTTAAACTTTTGGTGACGAACTTTACACAGGGGCAAAAGTCTTTTCATGCGAATCAGCTGACCAGTGGCAAATCAGATCACTCATTCATAACTGATCACTCGGAAGGCTGAGACAAAGCGGCGATGGGGGTGAACCGGCAAAAGCGGAAAATATTCAGAAGTTAGCGTAAAGTGTATGTTATTATGATGGAAGTAGAAACAGATATCCTAAGGGGACAGTTTGAACGGCTGCCAACCAAAAGGAAAAACTCTGTGATTCTTTCAAAGACATCTCTCACCTACGGTGGAGGCAGGGATGGTTGCTGCGTTTGTCTGGGGCAGCATGGCTCTCTGTCAATAGTGACAACGAAAGTGGTTGATATTTACGGCGCGAAGGCGTACCAAGGGCCTGAAGGCGATACTGCTGCTTACTTTCAAGTGTATTCTTGTCCTAGGTATGAAAAGAAACGAGTACGACAAAAAGTCTGTTTTAGGGTGTCTTCCTCTGATAGCGAAGAGGGTAACATTGCGATAGCGGAACAATGGGTTCGAACTATTTTATGGTTAATCAAAGATCCAGAGAGGAATTTGAGCAGCGAACAAGGTAAGACGACTCAGGAGATCTGTCACATGAAAGGGGGAAAGATTTTTCCGTGCAAGCTTTCAGTTTTTGGTAGAACTTACTTTAGGTTAATATATTTTGCTTCAAAGGAAGACGAAGTCACGAGTTGTGTAGATATCTCCAAGTCACGAGATCAATTGTTTGCTCCTTATTTGTTTCGAACTTGTCTTCACAAA